ATCTCGGCCTGGTTTGACTGGACTTAACTGGTCGAGTAATGGGTGGATTCCTACACATCACTCATCTGTCGCGATGTCCTGTTCCTGGCGCATTTAATTATCTTGGGAGTAAAGTTGGAATCAAGATTTTGTTCTGGAAAGTTCATCGAAGCTCCAGTCAAACGGTCTTTTCAAGTTCGTCCATCCGACCTGTATACTTTTAGAGAAATCCGATTCGCGGAGTGAGATGGATATCGCCCGTCGTGGGTTTTTAAACCAGCAGCGTACTAAAGTTTAGTAGGAGGGAAAGTCAGATTGCATGTCATTTGATATTCAGACGATATGCGACTGATTGCAGAAGACCGCCTGCCATATTTTACTTTGCTTACTGCAGTCGGCTAGAAAGAGGAAAAATTAGGTAACGTGGAATAAAAGTGGGAGGATAGAGTGAGCATTCTTATCATGTCGGTAATTAGGCCCTAACGAACCTTTACATAATTCCTAGTCGCTCTTATTGTTTTAGAATTGCGCAAATTCCCATTTTAAAATTGTTCAGGCCTGTACATTTATATGGCTATTGAAATAGTGAATTAACTGATGCGGGCAAGTAGATAATTAAGCTGTAGTTCGAGTTTGGAGGGGCGAGGGGAGGGGGAGAGTGAAGCACCACAATTCCAGTCGGCGCCAGGGCGAAGGTGGGTCCCGGCGAAGGTAATTGCATGCGGGTGGCTGGCTTAGAGGCTTTGAATCATGGCAACTGTGGGACCTGTATGAAGTTCTTCTGTGCGCATAGGACCGGTCCGCGTAGCCTGATTGCAAACAACCTGTTGGCTAACAGCTTCCCATAGACTGCGGCATTCTGCCCATACCGGTGCCAATTTTGCAGCATAGTTTTTTGATTTTCTATTCCTGTCTAATCTGTCGTAAAGTGTCTCTTCGAACATTTTCGTGTCCATCCAATAAAATAGGCTATCGAGATTGAATGCAAAAAGATTATTACAGGCAAAACCAACTGTCAACATCGATTTTGGGTACGATTCTGAATTACTGGCTTCTGGAGATCACGGGCCTCGAGCTGTTCTACGTTTACAACGCAAATAACTCAAGTAAGCGGGCCAGTGGCAGGAAATTCTATCGACAGATAGCAGCATATGGTTACCGTAGAAGTGAATTTTTACTTTATGCTGCCGCCAACTTCTTCATAAGCCATTTAACGAAAGGAAGCACTTAAATGCGCAAATACCACGATTGATAAAGCCTATTTTGCTTCTTTGGTTCTGACTAATACTTCCTACACCTTCAGCTAAATGCAAGGGCATGCCGAAGCTACAGTCGCTTCTGCCGTTGAAAACTTCCCCACAAATAAGTATATCTTGTTAAAAACTCTCAGGATCAAAAATTGGCCTGCGTATTTTGGCCCAAACAATAATTCCAAAAACTTTCTAACACATGAAACTGCACAACGAAATTTCTGCCCATAAACAGAATTACTGTTGTAATTTGACTAGTTTCGAGTAGTACGCCCAGGTGATTGCCAGATTTCTACGAATGTCTCTGTAGATTGTAAAATTCGTTGGATTACAGCCTTTTAATGGCTTTGAAAAAAACGAGGAAGCGGGTTTAACTTAAATCGCGCAATAGACATGGGTTGATGGCGCTTTAAGGGCATTATGTATATGAAAAATGCAGAAAGCAGGTTCTCACCGCTAACATAATAATAAGACTGAATTGACCAACAAACAAGCTATACAAACCGGTGATTTCAACTAATTCGCGCTCGGAGGACTCAGAGGTGCACATATACGTAGTATCCGATCTTATGCCTGAAGGATTGCAAGGTTCCTCCAGTAACACGATGGTTTCTTAAGTGGCATATACAATTTTATCGGTCGAAGCGGTAAACTAGGCGCTACCTTATCCGACAAGCTTTGCGTGCTCATTTTAGTCGCATTCCCAGGCGCAAATATTGCCTGCTTAGATAGTACGTACGGCGCAGTAGAATACGAAATTTGATGGAGACAAAATCGGTCGAATTCAAGGACTATCTGCATTATCATCTGATAATTTAGAAGTAGTTTATAAATGTTCTAGGCAAAATGTCTGGCATATACTTTGACGAAAATATACGGCTGACCAGTAACTAGTTTATTAAACACAGCCTCCACTGTCTCAACGGTAGTCTTGAAAAGGACCTTCAGCTGGAAAGTCAGTTTGGCGTCCAGCGCCATTGCGGAAACACCGAAATGATCTTAGACGTCTGCCAACTGCAAGAGAAATGCCAGGAAATGCAGATATACCTCTACACTACTCTTGTGGACCCGGGGAAAGCCTTCAACACGGTGAACCGCGAAGGAGTGTGAAGAATCATGCGGAAATCCAGCTGTCCTGCGCGATTCACACACATGGTGCATCGACTACATGGCAGGATGATGGCACTTTACGGACGATGGAACCCTCTGAGAAGCATCTGCAGTGACCGACGGAGTGAAGCAGGGCTGTATGCTCGTTCCCACCCTCCTCAGTCTCATGTCTTCTGCCATGCTGACGGGCGCCAACCGTGATGAGCGTCCGAGATCCGTATCGACAACAGGACCGACGGCCATCTTTTGAACAGCCGGTGCCCACAGGCCACAACGCATCTCTCGACGACTACTGTCCACGATCTGCTCTTCGCGGATGATCACATGATCAACACCACGACAGAAGCAGATATGCAATGGAAGATGGAGCTCATCTCCTCCGGCTAAGCCAACTTTGAACTGACCATCAGGACGGAGAAAACAGTGGTCATGCATCAACCATCACCCAACGATGCACACAGTGTTTCTTGCATCCATTTCAACGGTGCCCAATCGAAAACCGTGGATAACTTCGCCTACTTATGCAGCAGACTTTCACGCTGCGTCAAAATCCACAATGAAGCGGCTTACCGGATCTCCAAGGCCAGCTATGCCTTCGATCGGCTGCAGAACACCATATGGAATCGCCACGGCCTTCGACAGAACACCAAAAAGAAAATGTACAAAGCTGTCATCTTGATGACTTTGCTGTATTATGCGGAGACCAGGAGAGTCAATAAGAAATAAGCATTAAAATCCAATCAATTCCACCCCGGTTGTCTCCGACGGATACTACAGAAGAGGTGGCAGGACAGCACGGAAGTCTTTGAACGGACTGGAATTCTCAGTATCCACACTGTGCTGAGACAACTGCCGCTACAATGGCGGGGACACACTGTGAGAATGGGCGATGAGTGACTACCGAAACAAATCTATGGACATTTCGCCGCGGGTGCCCGTCGACAAGGTCAAATCCGCCGCTAAAAGGACACCTTGGAGGATACCTTTAAGCGGCTACAAATCAACCCAAAGACCGGTGACGATCTCGCACCGGCCAGCCTGGAGACGAGTAGTAAAGACTGAAGTCAATCAGATCGCCGGTGCCAAAGCCAAGACGGAAGCTCGCAGGTCTCAGATGCCCCTGGCCAACAACGTCAAACGTCCAATCCATCCTAACATGCTTGTCTTGTCGACGAACATTCCTCGCGCGGATCGGCCTCTTCGGACATCTCCATACCCAGTTCACCAACAGCCCGGCAACCCCAAATGCTGCCTCCCCGACCGCCCGTGCTCCACGCCCAACGGCGCCCAGGACGAAGACCACCCCCAGCACCGATGATCACAATCTTATGCCCCGTCACCGTCGGTCATCGTCATCTTTATCAGCCCTGCCACAACCTTCGCAGCGATGGTTACCTCAGCTCTCACTCCCGCCACTGGTCAAAAAGCTCCAAATACCCTCCCTCCCTCCCTCCCTCCCTCCTCCTCCTCCTCCTCCCCACTCTACCCATCATCATCATCATCATCATCATCATCATCATCATCATCATCATCATCATCATCATCATCATCATCATCATCATCATCATCATCATCATCATCATCATCATCATCATCATCATCATCATCACGTCCACCTTCGGGGATGTGGACTCGGTCCCGACCTGTCGTTAGTGCGATTGCACATTCACATCACACATCGGCCTGATCGGTTACTTGCGGATCCATCGCACTGCCACCGGCGCACCAGCGCCAGGAGCCCCACATACATTCGCCCCATACGCCTTTGCTTTTCACATTGTCCACACACATGGATAGGCTGCATGGGCCTATTCGGTCACATGCCTACCCACAACAGCGAAATTCACCACAATATTGGCATGCTTAACACATCTTGCACATCCACCAACTCTCGCATTCCCATCGACAAGAGCACCGACCGTCGGCAGCACCATCACCGGAACCGATCTAACATCCCCCTACCTGTCCTGCCCATACTGCCACCACACGTGCGCATTGCACATCTGCCTGGTCGGTCATTTGGGAATCCATCGCACAGAGAATGGAGAACCTTAATTGACAGCACTGCCCTCGCAAACACGACCGCATCACCACATCCTTCACAAACACATACACCACAAATGAACACCTCCAACATCTCACATAATCAGTCTCTCTCAAGTAAATGGACAATGTACCCTTGGGTCCCCTTCTCATCGCGGCTCCTCTGGTGCATGTAGGATCCATGCCATTCACCCCCTGTGTGTGGGTGAAGTCCTGGTGTGTGTATGGGGTACAGGTCGCGTTTGTGGCGTGCGCAGTCAAGTTGCTCTTAGCTCTGTCAGTCACCTTTCCCAATCTCAGCATCATTTAGTTAGCTCGGACAGTGGACTGATGCACAGGATAGGGAGGAGTGAGAAAGGCCAATACTCAGCACATAATTCCCCACTTTAAACAGTATGACGCGCTTGTGACTATCACGGCGGTTTGAAAGGTTGCCTATTGAGAGGGTAACTCGGACCTCTCAGTCAGCCCAGTGTGTGCTTGTGGGGAGTGGCCGATTAAGGAACTGAGTGCCAGGCTGCAGTGCTTTCTTTTAATGTGGCTTCTATAGCGGTCCCACCCAATGGGCTCCGAGTTCCCGCCCTCTTTTCTCTTGTGGATCAGGGATGTGGCGGCAAGCTTAGATGCGGGTTTTGTCCGTGCCAACCACCTACGCCCTACCTGCCTCCGACCATCTCCTCTCTGTCTTAACACCGGATCCAGGATCCGGAAAGAGGGGGTGCGGTGGATGCTGCGCGAGTCTACTGTCACTATAAAAGATGTCCCTAAATTCACTCTACTGTGGAGTAAACGGTGGACACTGTCATTCACGGCGATCGAGCTGATTATATGTATATCACTGACAACGGGCCACGTGGGATATGCGTTGGACCAACAAGAGGAGCAGATTTGGGTACGGCACACGTTATTCGGACGGTGTACCCATAAAGAAAGCTATATAGGGGGGTGTCCTAGCACGCATAAGTGCAGTCCCACGCCGCGCCGGCCACTTGCGCCCAATTCCCAACGTTAGATGGCCGACCTGCTCCGAGAGTGAGCTGGTCACTGCGAGAGGGAATAGAGAGTATGACTGACTCTTATGACCGTGTACTCACGGAATTCAACGCCGTAGACAACCTGACACTCTTTTAAACTGGCACAATCTTCTAAAAGCCGAGGTTTGAAAGGCTACCAACTGACAGGATAACTCAGTCCTCTCATGACGGAGACTCAGGCTGAAATGGTTCCTCTAACATGGCCTCCACGGCACTCCCACTCAGTTAGGAGCAGATTGGCCCATTATTCTTTGCACAAAAAATTTGGCCCGTCGTGCGCGGACCGGGTGTGGCAAGCATAAAGAGTCTGATCAACCCTGCCAGCCAGCGTGCATGATCCTGTCTACGTTCCTCTTGACACTGGCCTCAGGCAGGTGAGAGGGGGAAAAGTGCAGTAGACGCAACACAAGCCATCGTCACCGCGCCGTGGGACGCAAGGCAGACACCATCGTTAACGATGGTCGAACTGTCATACCTCAGAGAAACATTCTATGGTTGTAGTCTTTAACGGTAACTGGCTTATATTTCCGGAGGACGCTGCATTCGGCCTTCGCTTAAAGCCAAAGGAATGTGGAGAATAGGCACTTTGCTAAAAATGGACTTCTTCGTGAATATTTTCCTATTTTGGTTCGACCTGTCCCGCACATAGAAGTCAAAGATTGGCATAAAGTCCAATACGAATTTAACTAAGTTGCCAGTGGGGTTAGGGCAAATAAGTGTTTACTTGCGACACTTAAACGCTAAACACTCCACAGTTAATTTAAAGGAGTCGTCAAGAAAGCCTAGTGGGTAACACCATGGATTTATTCATCTGAACCAATTGTAAAAAAACTAAGAGGCCTCGTTGTGATTCGAATCCACGACAGAAAGGACGAGGCTTGGTTTCAACTAGCGAGCTAACCATCTCAGCTACGAGGCTCCACCGGGAGCCGGGAATTTAATTCCCTACCTGCCACTCCTCTTAATTTCGAAAGTGCAATGTCGTCGATGTGTTATCCCAACCCTATCCCAATTTGAGCTGTTAAATTCTGGTCAAAAACCATGTATTTTAAAAGAGCACAAGGCAGCTACCACAGAGGCTGGAAAGTGTCTCTAGAGAAAAACTAAGGCAAAACATGTACTAAAGTTATGCTGCTGTCAGCTTTTGGGACCGGATGCATACTGGCACGAACGTATGAGAATAAGCGACTAACCCAAAACTGAAAAGATTTCAGAAACCTTCCGCAAAATCCCCTTTAAAGATCAGCAGAATATTTGTGCCGCAATGTCCTCTTACTTGCATACAAGCCACGTCCAACAGGTTGCCGTCCCAGACGAACGTGCGACTTTCTCAAAAATAAGAGCTTCTTTTGCAGTAATGGCTTAGCAAGTAACGTTCTTGAGGAGATGTCTTCCGCTTGCTAAAGACACGAGTTATCCACAGGACATTGGATGTTAAGCGAGAGAAATGTCAATAAGAAATGGACAACACAACTCGCCAATTCCGCCTAAAATGGCGACTTCTTATATGATTAATACCCAATGCGTAAAATGTCCATTTTCAGAAGAAACATCATGTGGACACGATTGTGCATAATCTTTCTTAGATAAAGTAGGACAGGGTGGGTGAATAAACACGCGAATAAATAACTGTATTATTCCTTAGTTTAATTTGCTGTGATCATGGAAGTTCTTTGCCCACAAAACGTAGTTTGCAGTGGACTCATCCATCTTTACAATACAAAAAGACCACTAAAAGGCTGTAAACAATGGCGGGTACAGTATTTTGTCAGTAAAAATATCTGGCCAAAATTTGTACACTTTTCGTGCTATTCTTTAAGAAATGCCTTACTCAATGAGCAGACGGCAGACACTCGAAGAGACTCTTGGTACCAGATATATAAACACGCTCAAACATCCGTTATAGGTTCTGTTGCAGTTTACATGTGCTGAAAACTCCCACAGGGAAAGAATATGTTTTTAATTGTTGTCTGCTAATGCGAATTCAGAATACCATCGCCCAGCCCGCATTGGTGAACTGGCCTGACATTAATTTTGGTGCAAAAATCACTGCAGAAAATAATGTAACTTGCATTTAAAAAACTTCTGGATGAACATAAAATGACCAAAGTAGCCCGGCTGATTTGGTCAGTTAGTGTACACGGTAGAACTTAATATCAAAAACTGCTTCATTAAAAAAACAAGCATTGCATGATAGAAATACGAACCGTTGTAATGAAAGCAACTTCTGAGGGTACAAGATTCCAAGTGCAACGCAGTGTTGGGCCGAGGACGGATAATAACAAAAGTTCCATTGCGTCAGCAGACTAAAATAAGAAAGCGGAACTTTTGTAATCATGAGCAATGAATATTCCACTATTGTACGCACCAGTAGTTTGGATAAAACCGTCAAGGCCATAAAAAGTAGTAAAATTCAGTTTCCCCACGACGATGGATAGCTTAACTTAAGACAATGACGTAGTATCTTGAAGGAATCTTAATGACAGACTTGATGTGCGTAAAGGATAAGCATAATTGCGGAAGATCAGACAGAAATTTACATTTGGAATAGCTGCACAATGAAACAGTAAACTTATTGTTTAATATTTTGTACTTTAACCCTAGACAACTGAACCTAACGCCATCTTAAGCCCACGAATTCTTAAAGCGCTGACTGGCATTGTGAATAATGTTCCGAATTTTGTTGCAGAGTTACAGCAGAGCACGTACAGCACGCTCAGGTAAGGCAACAGGCCACTTCTTAATTTTGTCCCATCTCTTTACAGATTACCGACCGAATCATGTTTCATTTATGCTTTCATTCGAATTAAGGTAGTCAGTAACAACCATGCTTGTTGCGTCTAATCTGATGCTTTGATTATCGCGTAAAATTAATTCACCAAGAGCTAGACACGAACACACCAGTCAAATACCAGTGGAAAATATGATTGCATGGGCTGGACCTGTGTTCAATGCGGATGGGTAAATAATTGAGGACGATCTGTAGGAAAAATTCCGAGAATGCTTATTTATGACCATAAAAGCAGGCTTAGTCACACTTGGTTTAGTCTCAAAATATGGGATATTTTAACGATAACATAGAAAACTCCAGCGTCCACAAAGTCTCGGAACAGAAAAATAATCCTCGAAAACTCACTGTCGATTTAGTAGGTAAGAACGTGAACCACCCAAGCAGAATTTACATAATTCCGACAACAACATATTTAAGGCGTAATTTAGATATATACGCACTGTAAAAACAATTTTAAAGGCTAGCCTGGATGGTTTCCTGATGAAAGTGGAAGGTGCTGCATCAGAAAAATATCAATAGATATCAAAACCGCACATGAAGTTCTTTAAGACACCCAAGGCATCAGCGTTATTACGCGCAAAGCCCGAAGACTGCAAAAACCAATTGTCCGTTTCTGTCCCCCTTAAGACAAACCTATTGTCGCCTGATAACGAAACCTTGACCCTGTATGTTTATATATCATTTGATATTTTCGGGTAGTTCAAACTACTTTGTGTATATATGGAGATGTTAGAGTAAAGTATCCCGATGACAAAAGGAAGCTTGACAATCACACTTAGTGTAGAAGGAACAAACATTTAGAACGATCAACAAACAGTTCAGAAAGAATCTTGTATGCTACTCCTCATCCAGAATAACTATGATCAGGGGCGCACCGGTTCCACATGGAACCTACGTGGAACTTACGTATCTTGGTAAGGGAATCTTCTTTTAACTAGGTAGGTGTTTTTATACAACTCTGTTTTTCGAAGTTGTGAATAGATGTCTACATGCAACGGAAACACCAGTTCTGTGGAAAGTATAAGCAAAAGAAGAAAGCAAATGGACGCTTTCAAAACCGTCCGGAGAAACCGCGCGTATGAAAGGACGCACAAGACCAAACTGTGGCCATTCGTTTGATGCGACACCTCAGGTCAACTATAAAATCCCCTTGCTTTAGCCTTATGCGCAAGTGAAATGACCGATTCGGCATAATCTAATTGCAGCGAATTTTATCCGTCCAGTATTCTAAAAAACTGCAGATGGGTGGTTATGGAGGTCATTGGGGATCCCAGTCATTTTCAGTTAAGTAAAACTAGTTTAATATATCTGGTCGGTGAATTTGTTTAATAAATGCATAGTGGACGGATGTGTGGACACGTAGACTTATCTGCAAGGAAATTTAGTTTTGTAGAAGCCAGCACATTACATGTGCTAGTGGATCCAAAAGTAGATTAGGCTGCATAATGGATGACATTGTGAAGGCTGCAGAGATCTACACCACAGTCGGATTTTTAGTCCATCAACAGAAATGTGCGTCATGACGCATACATAAATGGGAATCATTGAGTTTCCCGAGTATGAGGGAGATGATATATGTACATCGTTGGTATTAAGTGACAGCGGAAGTCCGCCAGTTAGACGCATTGCTGGAGGACACAAGAATTAGGAATCAACTTGTCGGCTGTCCGTTTTATCACTATACAAAACATAAGGTGTCATTCCTCACCTGCCTAGGCTGAAACAGCCTGGACGACTGTGTGAAATGCGTATTCTTTGAGCTTTTTGAGGACGAAATTTCCTTCCTTGTGGACTTGAAGTGGCGCAAACTGAAAGACAGCCTCAGCAATTCGGAAGTTCATAAAGTTATATTGTGTAAGTATGTAATTAAGCGTCCCACTATCTAAATTTGTAGACGTTTTCGGTGCTTAAAACACCAACGGCGCTGCCAAGCTATCCCACCTCGCGTATGCGTTCGCAAAAAAACTCGAAAGGTTTTTGGATAACTACGTCTAATGTCACCAAAAGGACGGTTACAGGACAAAATGGACAGGTGAATAAATTTGAATTTTATAATATAAATCCTACCATATAGACGACAATCGTCGATGTTCAACAAATCATCGGCCTTCAGCCTCGAAAACGCCATCAATGTATTAATTTTTTTAAAATTATTTAATTGACTAACATTTTTCCAACTACCGTGTCCTTGAAATAGCTATTTTTGGGCAATCAAGTAATCACCGCTGAAATAGTCGCGTAAATTTAGCCGTTCAACGCGTTATAACGCGTAAATCTGCAGGCTAAGTATGCCGGGATTGGGGTGGCTAAGGCGAACTGACAGTACTAAAAAAAATACGAGTATTAGAACAAGCAAACGCAGCGTACGCAATGCCTGGGGTGTCGCTATCGAGGATTTCGTAGAATCTCGAAAAAATATCTACTCGATATCTGCATAACGGACAAAATCGATACGTAGTAGATATAAATATCTCGGAAAATTTATATCTACTAGATGTCGTCGTGATATAGTTTGCTACTACGGCAGCGTATAATTCGGGATCGGGTTTGGTAAATGGTTGTTTAATCTGAGTTCAAATTACCCAACGTAGTTCATGGTAAAGCAAAATTCTAATGAATAAACAAAAAAGTGTAATGCATAGTTTTAGTTATTATATTACTTTACAACCTATTTCAGTTTAGTTGAAAATTGCTAAAATTAGCCGGACTAGAGACCGCAAAAACTTTCCAAAAATTGGCCAATAAGCACGCTACTAAGACTATTATTAACGATTTATTTACGTGTATCCAAATTTCAGGACGAAACTTGCCTGTAGTATTCCCGAAATTCCGACTACACGCAACTGGAAAAGGCCTAATCCGTATGTTTCTATTGCTTCTTCTACTGTGTAGGTCAAATCAACAGCTTTTTCCTTGTTTTTATCCATGGGACCCACAGAACTGTTTTTTGAAGAAACTTGAGAAGACATATGTCCACCTTGTCTCGTAGTCACGCAGGGACTGCCGAACTGAATGTTACGACCTAGAGCATAATAAAAATCCTAATCCTGCGGATTTACCTTGAAAACTCGTTGACTGGTTAAAACAAGCTTCGGCGGCTGTAGGTCGCAATTGGTGAGGTTGTTTTGAACCCGACACAAAAGCCCAGCTGTAACTTAGAAATTTTGGAAGCATGTGATACATTGGTTCTTTTCGGTCGGTATTTCGATGTGGCCGATGTTAGCTAAGGCGAAACGTTAAGAGTGCTGAAAATGTCTAGGCGGTCTGAAACAACAGCACAAATCCTGCGAAAACCAACACCGGCTACCAGTGACATGGAAATATAAGAAGTCTTAAAAAACAAAGACAGGAAGGCAAGGAGCAAAAACAGAATACGAGGGTACTGATCAATGATCAAAATCCTGATTATAATGCGATGTATGTGGTCACGTACATATATGATCGATGCAATTAATGTACGATCAATGGGACCAAATATTTTTGAATAAACAACTAACAGTGCTGCCGTACGAGCA